TTTAATGTTCAAAGACCCATGACTTGCTCTTTTAATTTGATACCAAACCAAAACCTCTCTTAGACTGGGGTGTGGGCCTTCTAAAACTCTCTTGGACTGGTGCATATGCACTTGGGCTGATACCCTTAGTACAATTAAACTCACTTAAATCCACTATATTTATAATTATCAAGAGGAGATACTTTTTTATAAAAATTCTGATGTGAGATACAAAGACACACTCAAAATCTCCACCTTGACGTGTATCTAACATTGGTAAATAATAGACAAATAGCAAGCAAACTCCACCTTCTCTATAAAAGTCCCAATGGATCTCAATGAACCACAAAATCCCAACGAACCACAATGAGCGAATCAAGATGCAAAGGCTCAACAGGTCCCAACAGGTCAAAACTCACAAAAGGTTCAGCAGATCCCAACGGGCAAAATCATGAACATAGTAATCTTGCTCCATCTTCTTCTCAAAACCTTTAATGAGTCAACGGTTCAAAATAACTCTTCTCCAAAATCCAACTGAACTCCAGAAATTTTTTTTTATATAACACTATTATTGTCATCAAGGACCCAAAATTTGACCATGACCAAAATCTAAAGTTCTGATACCAATTTGTTAGGTCTAGTCCCCAAAATTGATCAAAGAGAATAATAGGGTTTTTTGAAATTCAATAATGACAATACAAAATAAATCAAACAAAGACACCCAGAATTTTATGTTGTTCGGTCAAATTAACCTACGTTCACGGTGAAGGGTAGCAAATTTACTATAACAGAAAAAGAGTACAAAATCTTATAAAATAATGTCTAAACCCAAAAGGCACCTAAAACTAAAAACACAAAAGAGTTTAAATAGTACTAAATGCTTAATAGCCCAAAAACCCATGACTTGCTCTTTTAATTTGATGCTAAACCAAAATCTCTCTTAGATTGGGATGTGGCCCCCGTAAAACTCTCTTGGATTGGTGCATGTGGCACTTGGGTTGGTACCCTTAGCATAATTAAACTCATTTAAATCCACTATATTTATAACTATCAAGAGTAGCTACTTCTTTATAAAAATCGCGATATGGGATACAAAGACACATTCAATAAATCTCCACCTTAACGTGTATCCAACATCGGTAAATAATAGACAAATTGCAAACAAACTCCACCTTCTCCATAAAAATCCCAATGGATCTCAATGAACCACAAAACTCCCAACGAGCCACTAACGAACCAAGATGCAAAAGACTCAACAGGTCCCAACAGGCCAAAACTCACAAAAGTTCAATAGATCCCAACAGGCAAAAAACCACGAACATAGTAATCTTACTCCACCTTCTTCTCAAAACCCACAACGAGTTTCAACGGGTCAAATAACTCTTCTCCAAAACCCAATTGAACTCCAACCAAAATTTTTCTTCATTCTCTGTAGTACCCAAAAACTATTATTTTTTATCAAGAATCCAAAATTTGACCATGACTCAAAATCTGAAGTTCTGATACTAATTTGTTAGGTTTGGTTCTAGGAAATTGACGAACGAGAATAATAGGATTCTTGGCAACTCAATAATGATAATAACAAAATAAATAAATCAAACAGAGACATCCAGAATTTTACGTGGTTTGGTCAAATTGATCTACGTTCACGGGCGAAGGGTAGCAGATTTATTATAACAGAAAGAGAGTACAAAAAGAGAGTAGAAAATTTTAGGAAATAATTCCTAAACTCAAAAGGCACCTAAAATTGAAAATACAAAAGAGTCTAAATAACATCAAATGTTTAATGGCCCAAAGGTCCATGACTTGCTCTTTTAATTTGATGCCAAACCAAAACCTCTCTTAGATTGGGGCGTGGACCTCCTAAAACTCTCTTAGATTGGTACATATGTCACTTGGACCGGTACTCTTAACACAATTAAACTCAATTAAGTCCACTATATTTATTACTATCAAGAGGAGATACTTCTTTTATAAAAATCCGATATGAGATACAAAAACACACTCAACACATGTCAAATTAACTTTTCTCTAAGTCCATTTGTGATCTAGACCTTAAAAGGATAACTTTATCATTTTAACAAAAATTTTTGTGACAATAAAACTAAAACTCTCACAATATAATTTGCCAACTATCAAACATTAATCAACCACATATGAATGCTGACAACAATCCACTAACTAGCATTCTCCCCGCTCATAACTTTCCTCCGATAATTCCACTCAAGAAATAATGCAAAGGTAACTTGTTTATGCATCACATTCATTAATTTCAGGTTCCTTGGGGATTAGTGAATGAGAAGGGCTTGCCAATCAACAAAGGAAATATTCACATAGGGAAGACAAGTCCTCCGAAGTCCGTCGTGCATATCTGGACAAATTCGCCAATGATTTTACCAACTTTCTGAGGATGCGTTCCATAGAACTGATGCCAAATGGACGGTTATTTCTTACCATGCTATCGGATAATCATCATCGGCATGATGCTTACAACGCCCTTGACTTACTTGCAATGACTCTGAATGACATACATGGTTATAGAGGTAACTCCATTTATTTCTTTCTAAATCGATGATCTATAGAGAAAATTCAGATAATCAATCTCATATTACTCGATCAACTACTGTTTCTTTTTTTTTTTTTGGGAATCAATAAATGACTATGTCTGAGCTTGGATTATGCCTAAGTCTGAAAATTTAGCTTTAGACTTCGAAATTGTCAAGTCTTTGGTTAAATTTACGTGATACCTGATTTATTCATGACTTTTCTAATTAAATTTACTTTTGCTCACGGTGTATAAAATAATTATTTAACTAATGGACTGACTGATGAAGAGTGCATATTTTCCAAACCATCTCACCAAAAAAAATCCTGCACAACATCAATGATTGAATCAAGAACAGGCAAATTTTCTAATTTGTTTACTACTAAAGTCACAGTTAAAATGCTCTTTAATTTTATTTATTATCATTTTCTGCTCCTAGAATAATTGTTCTGGGATATTGTTAGAAAATATTTATTGTAGTGCTCTCCATGGAAAGACCATAAATGAGATAAAAAATTGATTAGAGAACGTATTCAAAATATTTACGGGTAGAGTTCTTATAAAAAACTGTAACACTTTTGAATTGTGGTTGGTACAGGGACTCATTGAGGAAACCTAGTTCGATAGTTTCAACGTTCCACTGTATGAACCTTCAGAGCAAGAATTAAGGCACATAATCGAGAAAGAAGGTTCCTTTAAAATAAGCCATCTCGAAACCATCAAAGTACTGGTGGGTGATGCGTTCGGGAATCATGCATGGTCATTATCAAGGGGCTTTAGAGCTGTGTATGAATCCATGATTGTAACTTATTTTGGCGATTCCATTGTGGGCGATTTCTTCAACAGGTTGGCCAAAAAGATCTTAGAAAATAGGGAAAAGATCATGAAAGTATCCGGAATGAACTTGGTGTTTCCCTAACTAAATTTACAATCCCAAAGGATGAAAAATGTATTTAGTGAATCCATCGTTTCCTTTGGCAACGTATTCACAAAATGCATTTAAAAAAAAAAAGATGAATGAATCCTACTCCCTCTACTATCCCATTACTGCATATATATATATATATATATATATATATATATATATATAACAATTTAGAAGATGAATAATAATTTATAAAGTTTAGTAGTGGGTCCATTTCCCTTTTTTTATTCTTATTAGGGCACTAAATAGGAAAAAAAAAACCTTGAACTTAATGGAGTATTTTCTTTCTTCCTGGAACGGAATTCATGCATTTTACACTATGGAGAAGTCATTTCTAGACGATATCAAGCAGCCTAAGGATTAAAATTACTTCATTTGCTGATTTCATTTTACCTTACCTTTTGGCAAAATGCTGCAAATCATCCATCAGTGCAAATAACATCTTTTTAATCCTTTACACATTTCAATTAAACTATTTCAGTCACTCTATAGATTTGATTTTACCACTTAGGTGCAAGGTCCTGTTTTCAATTAACTTTGTGGAACCAAATATTCGCCAATTTCTAACTTGTACAAATCGAAACCTTGATTAGCTATAGGGTAAATATGACAAATCAATAATTGTCGAATATAGAGAATCATGTCGATGCCATCTAGAACTTGTCCAATCAACATTAAAAAGTTATATGTATATTCTGAAAGGCGATCAATGTTATGTCACTGAGATAAGTGAGATACCTTTAGCTGTTCTCATTATATTTTGGAAAGTTTTTGTAAGATTTCTTAATTGAGTTCTTCTCAAGATATATAACGATCCCTCTTTGCAGTTGTATGTCCTCAATTTTGAATGCAAGAAAATACATTCTTTGTAGAAAAAGGAAATCTCTTACCAAAAAAAAGGAAATCTTCAAGATACTTACCAAGACAAAAAATGAAATTTCTTACCAAAATAAAAAGCAAATCTTTTACTCATTTACGAAAAGTAAATGTTCTAGACGATGCTTAAAAGTAGAAGACGAGGTACAGGGAAATAATAAGTAAGCACGTGATGAGAGAAACGCATTTGATGCAAGTAGAAGTTTCTATTCTCAGTTGATCTTCTGTAATGTTAAAGATTCACCGTCTTACTGCAAATAAATACCTTTGCAATTAAAGGTTGATAAAGTTTTCATTTTTTTCCTGGTAAAAGATAAATCGTGGCATAGTAAAACAAGTCACAAATGATTATTGTGCTCCTACATAAAAAAGAAAAAAATTCATGCTGAAGGAGCACCGACGTAAGATATATGTGTAGCATCGAAGAAAGTTTAGTTTTTTGGAATATCAATTACAAAATGGGGACAATATCAAAAGAGAAATACCAATACTTGATAAACCTATCTCAATACCTATAATTGCATCAACAGCATAACAATCCCTACTAATTTTTGGTGCAATCAGCAGGCAAGAAGGAGACCTTCCCGTTTACAAGATCATACCCGATAAGATAATTTATCTGCAGAAGGTTCCCAAAAATTGCAAGTTCATCTGATGGAACTATAGTCAAACAAATCATGCCTTCGGAGACTTCAAGAAATGTACTGGTTGGAGCCAATCTATATCTGCATTAGTAAAGTGAGCAACAAGTTTGGGAAACTCGATATTTCTTTCAGACTTATAGCAAAGGCCAAAGATACTTAGTGGATCAGAAACCCGTGTGCCCCTTATTATTTTGCTAAGTTGTGATTCCAAATCTTGGTAAAGTTCCTGAGGGACATAAGTTAGAGTTGTTCCAGAGTCAATTATGATGTTGCCCTCTTCTACAGCAGTAGAGGAAATATTATGCAACTTGGAGAAACCCTTGTTTGAAATCCTTGTATTTCCAATGCTGAAGCCTTCTAGATTGAGATAGTAAAATGTATCTGGATTTTTCTTGATCAGTGGAGTTGAAACTGCTGTTGGGCCTGAAACAACAGCATTTGTACCAAAATTGATCTTACTTGAAGCATCTGATCCTGAATCTTTAGGCACTAAGCAATAGGAAAATCTGCCACCGATTGATCCACTCAGTTGCTTGATAAGAGACAATGATCCTCCCCAAGTCCAACTATCCCGGACGCACTTTCATTGAAAGTGCCTTCATTTTCGTGCCCGCAACCGAAAACAACTTTCGGAATTGATACACTTCCGCCAGAGCTTGATTCAAACGTAAAAGTTTCCGCAGAAAGATCACCAATACTATAAGAATGATCTCCATAAGAAACTCTATATCCACAATTGTTTTCAGAATCACAAGTTTGAGTTCCAACTTCAGTACACAACAGAGATTCGCATGATAACTTTCGATAACTCGAAGTTTTACTTGGATCAAAAAGAGGGGCACTTTGCTCATAGCATTGTCTGCAGGGATTGCATTGTGTCCAAGTAAGATCGCTGCCCGTGTCAGCAATGGCTAGGATATCAACAGGTGGGGTTCCGATGGATACTTTGATGAGGTACTCCCCAGTGATGGATGTGATGTGGGACTGGATTCCATCAAAAGAATCTGATAAACTCTTGGAATGCGACTGGGAGATTCTTTTCTTGAAATACTCGGCTCGAGAGAACGATCGATGAAAAGCTTTGTTAAGCGTTTCAAAGTAGGAGTTGGAAGGATTGTAAAGGGGGATTTTGGGGTGTCACGATGTATGAGATGAGTAGAAAAACCATGTTTTCCCTCAATGAGTGGAGAAAGAAACAAATTGATGAAGAATAAAAGGGATAACTTGGAAAACAAAGAGAGAACTGTAAAATTTCCAGCCATGGCTGAGAAAAAATGAGATCAATTGACGGCTAGAGGTATCTAACATATCAGGCATGAATTTTGTGAAAAGGGTTGCCTTTTATATAGTCCATAATGTATCTTGCAATGGTCGGGACTAAATACAAATGCATTCATACTCCTAAGATTACTCCTATTTCATCTATCACGGTGACTCATAATTTTCCTATTGTCTTTGGTTACGCGGATTTGTATCCAAAATATTGTCCATCATTAGTGCAATCAATTTAAATTATTACTTACCATTCCTTTTGTTCATTCACTGTCTCCTTCCATTTTATTGATTCAAATCAATTTCCACAAATTTCCGTATCTGTATATCAATCTGCATTTATGCCTACCTCTTTTTCTTTTTTTTTTTGGACAATTGTGCTTTTTTTGGACATTTTTTTCCCATTTCGAGTAGATGACAGTGTAGAAAGAATCTGATTAGCTTTTTTTTTTTAGTAGTTGATTAGCTATATTTTTTGTGGAGATAACCGTACTATATCTTGTGGTGTAAATGCCCACTATTTGGCATTTTCTGGCATTGGATTGGAGGTGACGAAGAGGCAAGTTACGGGACTACTACTGAATTTGAGATTTTGCTGCCTATGCTTTTCTATAATTCCATCTAACAAATGCCTTACTTTATCACATTTATTAGGGCAAAATACACTTTACCCCTTGTAATTTAGCAATTTTTTATATAAGCGGTTATAGTTTCAAAAATTATATATAATCCCCTCATAATTTGTATTAAAGTGTCAAAGTGATTCAAAATTATATATAATCCCCTCATAATTTTTATATAAGCGCTTATAGTTTCAAAAATTATATATAATCCCCTCATAATTTGTATTAAAGTGTCAAAGTGATCAAAATGATTATTTGTAACGAAACTCGAGAAAATATCGAAATTATCCTTGTTTAAAAATTAAAATGGCTAAAATGATCAAAATATATAAGCATAAATGATAAAATGCATGCTCTAACCCTATATGGTTTTATGTTTTAATGGTTTAGTATTTTACCATATAACCTCCTTATGATTTTTAAAATATATAAATAATCCTCTATGGTTAATAAATAATTTTCAACTTTATATAGGGGTACTTTTGATATTTTAGTTGACTCCATTATCGAATGCAAATTTCGTTATTTTGACACTTTAATCTAAATTATGAGGGGATTATGTATAACTTTTAAAATTATAGAGGAATTATATGTAAACGTGCTAAATTACGGGGATAAAGTGTATTTTGCCCATTTATTACATCTCAGAAAACGTGTTATAGTTATTTTCTTCAAAAACTCTCAAAAAAATACAGTCTAAACGGTTCCTAGATTTCTGGGTGGAGTCCACATTTAATAAGATAGTGTATCCAATCTTGCACGATAACTTGGAACGTGGGTCAAATATTATTACAGAATATGCATTGGACTTTTCTAGCTGGCGCACACGGCCGACCCATTAGCTAAACCCATGATATTTTCAGAGTCAAAATTTAATGTTATAGCAAATATGACAGGAGTAATCTTCTGAAGTGAATTTGTAATGATGTCTGATCTTATTTGAAAAAAGATGATTTTGGTATTTTAAGTGCATTTATTTTCTAATATATCTCCTTTACTCATATACTGTCATACCATAAACTAGAGTACACATAATTGAATCATAGGATAAGATTTGATTAAAACTAATTATTAAGTTATTATGAATTAACTATTTTAATATATTTAATTTAAATGTTTATTTTGCACTTAATCTATTAATCATGTTTATTTTTAATCTATTAAGTTCCTACTTTATATGCATTTACATCGAATATATCTTTATTTTTTTTGTCAATCAATGCATAATTTTTCTTGTCTTAAAACTCTTCAATTACATTCACTGTATCTCTATTATTATACTTGATTATTGATTTGTAATTCTACAGTTTTGAGAATTTTTATTTTTTTAATGAATCTATATTACATATTTTTAGTATATTACTCATACAAGCCCATTTAAAATTTTAAAAAAGTACATTTAAATTGTATAAACCATCATTCTTTCCTAAAATATTCTATTAATTATTATACTCTCTCCATTCAAATTCAATTTAGACCAAAGTAGTATTCATATAAACACGGGATTGTAAAAGTTCTCCCAAATTACTTTTCTTAGTTTTAAATAATTTGAGCAAATAATAAGTGCATCATCAATTAGTATGCATTTAAAATTCTTATTAATCGTGAAAGAAACAAATATTTAGTTGCACTTATTTCTCAATATTTCTCATTCACTCATATGTTGACTTGTCACCATGAATTAGAGATTTAGAGCAAACATATATAGTTGAATTATGGGATAAAATTTGATTGAAACTAATTATTAAGTTATTATAAATTAACCATTTTTAATATGTTTAACTTTAATGTTTGTCCCACAATTAGTACATTGAATCTTATAAAATAGTATTTTAAGTTTTTTATAACAATTTTTGTTCAAAAAAATTATAGAATATAAAAAGTGCCGGTGCAAACGCACGAGAAAAAAAGTAGTTTAATTATATAATGTACCCAATCATGCACATTGACATTGCCAATATTATAATATCCAATGGTAACATGAAAACTACCCCTCTCAGATCAATTTGTGATCATATGTGAGTTCACTCTAAAAGGGTAATTTTGGTATTTTAACAAAAAATTGTTGGGCCCTTAAAATTTGAATTTTAACTACAATAACAGCCTTCTATCAAAACAAAGCTTTTCCTTTTTAACATATGCCTTTCTAATTTTTATGAAAAATATGATTTTAGTTTCTTAAATAAAGGGAATTTCAGGTTAATGTGGCTAACGAATTATTTGAACATATGGAAAGTGAATTTTTATTACAGCAGAAAATTTAGATTTTTTGCTAGTTAGATGATAATGGTTAAATTTGCTTCTTTTTAATATGTTTCACATTAATTTTGAGTCCATTTGTAACATCAATTGGTATAAATTGTCCATTTTGTGCCACTAACTTGCACTCTAAGCTAATAAAGGGAATAGTTGTGATTTTAGTCATTTACACGTAAAATCTCTTTTATTTTGTAGGTAAAATGATCCACCTTAATTGGAATTGAAATGAGCCAGGATTCAAAGCTAGAAAAGTCACAACATTGGCTAACGGAAGTGGTGCAAGGAAGGATTGAGCGTCTAAGGAAGAAACAAAGAAAAAAAAGGACTGGGGAGAAACCGCGGGAGAATCCGTCCGCGGTTGCTCTGTGGTTTGTGGCCAAAATTTCAATTCGTGTTGCTTTGCCCAATCCCTTGAGAATCCCTAGAAAATCGCTGCAGGGATTCATGGCTGTAACTTGTCAACTTGTATGGATTCTTTCTTTTTCTTCATCTTGACAAGACACAAAAAGGATAATTATACACCACCTTTTGAGAGATCTAGGAGCTTCATTTTCTTGACTTTTAACAAGGAAGAAAGATATAACTGAGGAGAGAGAAGATTGAAAAAAAAAGAGGAGGAGAATTTTTTCTTCTCTTTTCTCTCTAGCTTAGCTTAGACATAGTTTTACATCCTGTTTTCATCTTTTCTTGGAGAACTTGGAAACTCTTGATGTACTATGTATTTTTGGTGGCAATGAAGATGAATGAAACTTGAAGATCTTGTTTCTTCATTTGAATAAGCATTTCTCACTCTCTACTCTCTTTATTGTGTCAACAATGCTTAGTTACCTTTAAGACATGAGTTTTGTTATTGAATCTATTATGTCTAGCTAAATCTTCTTGTTCTAGGGGTAGATGAAGCTATTTGTGCCTTAATATGGTTAGATCTAGTTGATTATTGCTATATCTTGTACTTCCTAGTTCTCTTATTCTTGTTTTAACACTTGTGAATGCTTGATCACCATTTACCAGTCATTTTAGTTGTTGTTAATCTATGAAAGTAGTTAATAATGATGGAAATGGAATAATTGGAGCTTAAGGAGTAGGCACATGAAAGTAGTGGTACACTTAGGTGGATGTTTATGACATTTCTTGTGTTTGATCTAGTTTATACTTGAGATTTCACCACGAAAGTAGGGAAACTCTAGCATAAGTTAAATTCAATTCATTGATGAGAGCGAGTTCCGATAGTTTGAGTGAAATGCATTCTAGCAAGACGAGAATATTAGTAGTAATTGGCTATTTCATTCCTAGTTAGACACATTTGGTGGATTCTACACCCTAGAATACTTGTATTTAGTGGAGTTACTTCAAGTTGTTAACCTGTTTTGTTTTACTTTAATATTTTGATTGATTAAACTAGTTAAAATTCTTAATAAGTTTAGATAATAGAGTGAGCTAAAAGTCTTAGTAATTCAAAAGTGATTCTCTAGGGATTCGACCTATTTCCTGTACTACAATTCATGACCCATGCTCTTGTGGTCAACGAGGAGATTAGGATTAAAATTAGAGCGCAGGTATTGATAAGTGACTAATTTATGTAATAATTGTATGACATTTTATATTATTTTTAGTCACTTTGATTATATTATTGGAAGAAAATGAATCATTTTGGCTATAATTGGTGAAAAATGCTTTTAAGTGATTAAATGAGGTTTTTATCACTTTTTACTAGCATTTTGTGCATTTTTGACAGCTTTGACATATTTTAGTATTTCGGATATAACTTGAGTTACAGTGATCGGATTGAGAATATTCTTACACCAATTTGAAGATAAGATATAGATATACAACTTTGTTGAAGACATCGAAATCCATTTTGAAGGTTTTCTAGGTCAAAAAGGCAAATTACAGTAGCCAATTTCTATTAGTCGAAGCTGAAACAGGGCATTGAGCAATCAAGGTATTTCAGTCATTTCTCAGTCTACACAGATCCAAATGAGGGGATTCTTGATGCATTGGAAAGCTAACTCAAAGGGCTACAACTTTTATGTTTTGGTCAAGAGTTAAATCAGCTTCTATCATCAACAAAAGTTCAGTTGAAATTGAGGCAAAATCGGACCAGCTGGAAATTGAACAGAAATTGCACAAAAAGTCACTGTAGCAATCCGGCCAGAACTTGGCCGGATTTCTGGCCGGATTGTGGTCAGAGATGGCTGCTCTTTACGTGGAAAACTTATTTTCACCTCCAACAAGTCACATGCAATGCCAGACATGTGAGAACTACTTTGCAGCTGTAAAAGGGTGGTGTATGCCTCATTTTCTTGACTTCTTTCATCTTTATATAGCCAAAACTTGCAAGATTGAAAAAAAAAAGGAGAGAGACATACGGGAGAGAACTTGGACTGCAAAAATGTAGCTCTTCCATTTTTCTTAGTGTATGATATTAGTTTAGACAGTTCATCCAGTCTTGTTTAGTAGCTAGGCAAAGATGAAGATGGAGGATGAAGAAGGCAAGGAGATGAACTCATGTGACAAGGATTACATTCCTTCCAAACTCTTTATCTTTTGTACTTGATTCCAAGTTTAGTTAATATACAAGTTCTGGATTTTGTGTTTATTATGTGTTTCTAAAGTTTATGCCTTGGGTTTGGTTGAACTTTCTATGATTGTTAGTGTTTATTATTTGGTTATTTGATTGCTATGATTTGAGCAAGTTATTTAGCACTTTGGCTCTTTAAATCATGATTAATCTGGTACCATTAATTGTGATTATCTAAGGTGTTGTTTCTGCAATGAAAATTGAGATTTAACACTGGTTCAAGAAGTGCTAAACATAGGGAGTACACTCACGAAAGTAGAGGTGCACCTATGCGGTTTTAAGTGATTCATTTCATGTAATTTCACTGAAGAAATGAACTTCTAACTAATTTCATAACCATGAGAATAGGTATGGATTAGGTATGAGTATAATTGATTCACTACGAAAGTAGGTTTCATATGCATGAGAAAATTACACCATAACTAGCCTAGATAGTAGTATTCAATGATCCAAATATAACACTTGCATGAGTAGTTAGGGATACCACAACCTAATGAGCTTTCATTTGTTATTTTGCATAAGTTCAGTAGGTTTAATTTATTATAATTCATTGATAGTCTAAATAATAGAGAAGTTTTAGTAACACCGGTAATTGTTCAATCTTTCTTGTGGGATCGACCCGATATATACTTTAAACTACTAGTTGACCTGTATACTTGCAGTGAAACGGGTGTATTTCGGATTTTTAACTTGTACGTATAAGAAAAACCCCGTCAAGTTTTTGGCGCCGTAACCGGGGAAGATTTGGCAATATTGGTGTGAAGAGCAGCTTTATTAGTTTAGACATTTTATTAGTTATAGTGTGATTGTTATTTTCTATAATTTTAGTGTTTTATGTGTGTATGTGTTTTATCACTTATTCTTCTTACTAATCTTACGCTTAAGTTGTTTAAAAGCAATTTTAGGTGATGAGGAGGATAGATCAATTTGGAGGACAATGCTTGAGAAGTGGAAGATTGGCAATGGATGGTTACCAAGTGCAAAACTTCTTCAACAGAGGTAACCTAGAATTTACTGAATGTATGTCTTTTGAAGATGGTTTAAGGTGCTTAAAGACTAAATTTGATGTGATGATGCTACAAGTTCAAATGGACACAATTATGCATGAAATTGAGCAAGGGAGGAATGTTAATGCTTTTAATTATTATCATGTGATTTGTGACTTGTGTGGAGGTTATCATGCTACTAATACATGTATGCAAGCATAAAATATGGATTATTATAATGAATTAGAGCATTACAATCATTGTTTTGATCGATATAGTACTAATTGGAGCAATTCTCCTGCTTATGGTTGGGATAATCAATGTACATATAGTGATTATCCATATTTTTATGATTACCAACCTGAAAGTATCCAATATGAATCAAAACCATCTTGGGAGTTGGCAATAGAGAAGTTAGCTAATGCACCTCTACCTTGGGAATTAGAAAGTGAACTATTAGCTAATGATTCTAATGCATTTTGGGAGCTAGCTATAGAAAATTTTTCTAATCAATTTGATTCAGCAATAGAAAAGCTAGCAAATGCAACTTCCGACCTTTTTGATAGGATTGAGGAAAGAATAGATGAATTAGCTTCTCACTTTAGTAGAATACATGAGCAATTGAATATATTGTGTGAAGTTATTTTCTCTAATAATTTGCAAAAAGATCCTAGCATGAATGGTGGGAATATTGTATGTGAAAATGGGTTGCATTTTGATCAAAATGATGATTCTTGACAGGTGTCGAGCCTGTGCAATAATAAATACCTACTCGAAAAAAATAAATTTTCTGTGTATAGTAGTGAGTAGGGTCGAATCCACAGGGACTGGAAAAAATTCGATTCTTTTCAAGTTCGGGACACGGGGGATTTTTATCAGAAATAAACTAAAAATAATTAAACAATTTAACTAAAAATAATTAAATAATTTAACCAAAAATAATTAATTAATTAATACAATTGTAAATAGCAATTAAATAAATGATAAATAAATTCTAGCCAAGGATACAACTACGCAGACACAGTCCATTCATCCGATCATTGATGCAAAGAAGGTTCACTTAATTTTATTAACATGTTAGTTATAGTCGCCGATAAACTCTAACGACCAATTTTCCTTAATTTATTGATAACCAAGGTACGACCGTTGATTACCCCTAATCAGGAAATACTCCTAGGTACGACCGTAGGAATTAATTTCCTAATTGCATTAAAAACTAGAAAAGCCTAACCCAAATTAATAACACGCTACGAGGGTTATTTAAATCAGATTGCATGTCCCCCTAGTATGTGAAAATACTAGTTGTCACTAATATTAACCAACTAAATAATTACGGATTTAATTGATTAATTTGACAAGAGATTAATAAGTCAAATTGCACATCGGGCCCTTGATATCCAATTAACAAAATAATCCATGGAAATTAAAATAGAAAACATGCAAATATTAATAAATTAAGGAACACGTAAAATTAATTAGATCTCACAGATATTTAGGACTGCGTCTTCGCATTGATCCTTGACTAGAGGAGAAGATTAGCCACGCCTCATGATAAAATTCTCACGCAATTTAAATGGAATCGAATACATAAATAACTAACTAAGAATTTAGGAAGAAACTTGAGTCTCGCTAGACTCTTTTAAGAAAAGTTGCACACCACACAACAAGAGAAGGAAGAACTCCTCCTCTGAAAATCAAAAACTATCTCTATCCTCCTACGGAGCTTCTCTGGAGAGAAAACTCCAAAACTAGTTTTATATCTCCCTTTCACACGTCCCATATCTTCATACATAAAAAAAACAGCCAAAATGGAGACATCACCCCACGTCCTCCAAAGAGGTCATCATTTCTCTACACAATCAATTCCATTCCACTCAAAACAAAAGCAATTGTCGGTTTTCTTTTTGACCAAGTGCACACGTTCACCAACAAGAAAGCAAAACCACAAACGTGCAAAGAAAGCACACTTTAGACAATACAACTTATTTGCGGTCCCCACCAACTTTGACATGTTGTCTAGCCAAATTGAATTCCAAATGCAATTCCATTCTTCTTCGTTGGTTTGCACCAAAATTGTGTAAAGCTTCACAATAATCTTCTCAAGAGGTTTTCTGCTACAATTTCTGAAATTATATCCAAATACCAAAATATAAATATATATTGACAATTAAAGCAAATTAAAGCAATATTTGGCAAGGATAAAAAGGAAAATTAATAATAAAATTACTAAAATTAACACCCTATCAATTCCCCCCACACTTAAATCATGCTTGTCCTCAAGCATGGAACAACTAAATTCAACAATGGCTAACTCTCATTTCATTTATTGCCAAGCTGCGTTTATCCCAAAATCAAGTTTTAGTAGCTAAGTGTCAAAACATATTTCTCCCGGTTAGCTCCTGAAATCATAGATTCGTCCAATTCATGGCTAACTTGTCTAAGAAATCAAAATATTAAACTAGCAAAAGTTAGCAATTGGGTCAACTGAAAATCAAAATCTCAACATTGAAGAACAAGGATCGCAGGCCAACATGATCATAAGCTTACTTATTATTTTCTTCTCTCTTTTTTTTTAAATGATAATAATTAATTTTTTTTTTCAATAAATGCTCAGTCCCAAGCTATTCAAGTCTTTTGACGTGAACTCTGACATTTTTAGATGAAAGAGCCCAGTTACTCAACTTTTCACAGTTTCAGGACTAACTACTCATAGATATCGCCACTTTTTGACGCGAGAGTCGACACTTGTGGTGAAGACTCCCGGTTACTGGGTGATGACACTAGCGGAGTAGAGCCATTTATTAATCACAATTAAAGCATCAGAATACCAGATAATTAAAGATCATGACCCACGTCATCTCCTAATATGGAGAACTAAGATCAACAATTGCCCAATTCACACAACAATTGCTAGTAAAATATTTATATTGCCTAAACAATTTAACCACAATTTGCACCAAGTCATTAAACTCATAATATTCACCAAGATAATATGCTTTTACTTGCCATCTAAACAAAAATTCATAGGATAAATCACAACCAGCAATAGAAGAGTGAGTTGCCACATTTATTCATCAAGACAACAATAAGAAAAGCCAACAATTTAAAGAAACTCCAATCAAATCCAAATCCCCAACACTTAAAGCACACATTGCCCTCAATGTGATAATTAATTAGTAAAAATAAGAAGAAGGGGAACGAAACTCCCCTGAAGTTGTCAAAACAGCGGCGGGTTAGGCGGAAGTTGAGGTTCAACACCCACGTGGTGCATAAACGCCGCCAAATTCTGTGCCATGCTATGCACATTAACATCAATATTTGATACTTGAGCTTCCAATTTCTGAACTCGCATTTGGAGTTGATGCCAGTCATCAGCCCCTGGGATTGGAGGAGGCGGAGCGGAGGTCGAAAGGCCAGGGTCACTACTAATAGTGGAGGAACGGGCAAAAGATGAACGAGGGGGAATACGAGATAGTCCCGGTGGTGGAACCTCCCACCCATTGTCACCCTCCCTAGCCAAGCCCATTTTCTCTAGACAAGGGATGTCTAAGGGCTCCATTTGACATGCTACATGTAAATCATGGTTAGAGAGATCAAGCACATGTAAATTAACAGCCAAATGGGTAATGTATGATCCAAGAATCAATGGGCGCTTCTTTTTAGTCAAAACAGACTTGAATTGAGAAGCTAGCCAGTACCCCAAATTAACTTTAATGTTATTATGCATGCACCAAATAAAGAAAAACTCCGACTTAGACAAAATGCCCGAGCTATCTCGCCTGCCTGAGAAACTATAAGCCAAGAAACGTTGGATGTAGCGAGAAGTCGGATCCTTGAGATAAGAGCTCTTGGACTTTCGGGGGTCGTAAGAATCACAGTCTACGGACATTTCTTTCCAAATAGAGCTATAGCGGGAGAAGAAGGGTTCTACGTAGTCACAAGCACTCTCGGCATACTCACGAGAGTCGGCGTAGGCCCTATCAATAAAACCAAAGGCTATATTGAAATCAGTAATGGAGTGGTGGAACTCTTGACCCATTAATCGAAAACGAATAACATTGGGGGTAGAGACTGTGTAACCAGTGGAAATATTGAACTCAAATGTGGCATAGAACTCCCTGACTAACTCAACAAATGCCGGATGGTCAACAATATATGTGTAGGGACGCCACCCGATGGCATTAATCAAGCGGTCAAAGTCAACTGGTATATTCAAAAGACATAAGGTGGCGGCGTCCTGATAGCGGCAAGGAATAATCCGCCGTTCACAACAAATAGCATATCGCTGTTTGTCGGCGGCTCTGGTGAAATTCAAATTACCACCAAAATGTGAAGGGTCAGAAATATAGACGCCTCTCTGTCTTCCAAGGCGAGCCCTTCTCCCAAAGGAAGAGGGATCGTACGAGGGGTCAGAGGCGGGAATGGTGGGTTGAGGTGGGGGAGGCCGAGAGGTCTTAGGTGTCCTAGGCTTAGAAGAGGATCTGGGTTTCACCATTTTTTTTTTAAATCACTCCAATTAACAACAGACAACAATTTTCAACAAAATTTAGAACCAACAAATTCAAAGCACTAATAATTGTAATAACCACTGTGGCCTCTCTATTAGTCAATTTGAGACCCAATTAATGCCCACCAATTCAATTAATGCCTGAAAACAATCCCAAACAATGCAACAATTAAACTAAAAAGTGCAAAGAACATCCACCAATTTCACTCGAACAAACTATGAGCATTGTTAATGTCTAAATAAATCATCAAATTTCAGCAATTAGACACAATACCACTCAAAATCTCAATAACTGTTTCCAATTGGACAGTTAATTACACACTCAATCAATCCCAATAACCATTCAAATCAACAAACAACTGCAAGAAGGGGCTACCTACATTTAAGAAACAACTCAAATCACCAACTCAAAGCGCTAATAAATCCATACACACCAATCAAAACCACAAAATAACAAAAATTAGAATGGGACCCAAGTAACAAGTAACTCTCAAATCACCCCTAAAAATTTTCAAACAAATGAACTGGCACAAGAGACGTCAAATTTAACCCCCACAGATGAAATAAACGCCTCAAGTAGTTAAACACAAACACTATTCAGCAATGTAATGAACACCAGAAAATATCCGCAAATGGAGCAGCAAATAAAATTAATTCACCCAAAATTAACCCCAGAAAATGCCCAAGTTAAATGAACTGACAGATGTGCCCCAAGACCCAAGGACCAAAAACGCAACAGAGACTCCTAAGCAATTCAACGGAAAAGGGAAAATCAAGCAAATCACTTCCTATTTTCATCCATAAAGGTACCCAAGAAAATGGCCCAAAACTTAAACAAAATCACCTCCCAAGCGATCTGGTTGAGTTTGGACAGTGAGATCGAAGTGTGAGGGAGAGGGAGAGGCGCGCGTGCGTCGCTTGTTCGTTGCGTGGTGGGTGAGCTGAGTGGACTGCAGCAGCGGTTTGGAGCTAGCAGGTGGAGACGTGCGAGCTAGCTCGAGCTGGCGGACAGTGGAGCTAGTGGCGTTGCAGGTGAAGTGCAGCGCACTTCGTGGGGAGAGCCAAGGCAGCGAAGGCTGTCCGTAGGGGATCGAGATAGAGAAAGAAAACTGAGTTGGACTGCCGTGAGCTTCAAGCGGCAGTCGATGGCGGTGGACAGGGAGAAGGAGCTGCGCATAGCTCTGGGTTGGCGGTGATGAAAAGAGAGCTGGTGGTTGGTCAGATGAGCTTCAGGGAGAGAGAGAAGCGGGCTGGTGGAGTTGGACTAGCTGGGGTGCAGGTGCGGCGTGGTGTGGCTGTGCGAGCTGGCGGGAGCGAGAGAGTTGGCGGCTATGGTTGTGAGGTAGGCGCGCGCTGCTTGTTGGTGATGAGCTGGGCAGCCGTGGGCTTCAGGCGGAAGTCGGCGGCAGCTATGGACAGGGAGGAGGAGCTGCGCACAGCTCTGGGTGGCGGTGATGGAAGAAGCAGCAGGCAGCGGCGGTGTTGCTCTGGGTTGCGCGCGACTGGCGGAGCTTACAATGAAGAAGAAGAAGCGAGCAGTGGGGAAGAAGAAGAAAGAAAAGAAGAAGAAAGAAAGAAAGGAAAAAGAAGGAAAGAAAAAGAAAGAAAGAAAAGAGAAAAGAAAGGGAAAAATAGTTTTTTTTTTTTTTTCAGAATTGAATTGCTGAAAACTAAAATGAATGTTAAGAAGGAAAAAATATATATACTGAATTAATTTTATTTGTAAAGAAAAACAAAAAAATTTTTTTCAAAATTATTAATAATTTTTTTTTTAAGTTCGTTAAACATGGCGTGGGCATGCTAAGATTAGAAAACATTCTCTGACCTTGAGAATCAGTTTTTGAACATTAATGCGTGCCCTCTCCGCGCGGGCACGCCAAGATTCCACTTCGTAATGTTGAGATTTTACCAACATGGCGTGGGCATGCCATGTTTTAGAAACATCCTCTGACCTTGAAGTTGGAACTTGTGAGATTAATGCGTGCCTCTTCGCACGGGCACGCCATGATCACCTGTCCTGATCATAGTAGAGAAAATATCAAATTTAAGCAATACCCAGATGAGAAACGACATATTTAACGAATCGCACAACAAAAACCAACAAAATCAAAAATTGGGTTGCCTCCCAAAAGCGCCTTTCTTTAACGTCTTTGGCTAGACGGAGTCCAGAATTTGCTTAAACTAAGCAAATCGGGTCTTCCAGTTGCATCATCTCCACCCGTTCAATTGGAAATCCTTCATAATACGGCTTGAGACGGTGACCATTCACCACAAATTTCTTCTCCGTTTTCAAACTTTGGATCTCTACTGCACCATAATGAAAGACATTAGTCACAACAAAAGGGCCAATCCAACGAGAACGTAATTTACCTGGAAATAGTTTCAATTTGGAGTGGTATAGTAAAACTTTTTGCCCGCAGACGAATGTCTTCCTAGAGATCTGTTGGTCATGAAAGATCCGATTCTTCTCTTATAGATCACTGCATTCTCGTATGCTTCATTTCGGATTTCTTCCAACTCTTGTAATTGTAACTTTCTTTGAATTCCGCCTTCCTCGATATCCATGTTGCATTGTTTGACCGCCCAAAATGCTCTATGCTCAAACTCGACCGGGAGATGACATGGCTTTCCAAATACCAATCGGTAAGGGGACATGCCAATGGGTGTCTTGTATGCCGTCCTATATGCCCATAGTGCATCTCTAGTCTCACACTCCAATCCTTCCTATCGGGTCGGACCATCTTTTCTAGAATTGATTTGATCTCTCGGTTCGATGCTTCCGCCTGACCATTTGTCTGAGGATGGTAGGATGTAGAGACTTTGTGCAAGACACCATATCTCCTAAAAATTGCAGCGATCGTTTTGTTGCAGAAATGAGTACCCCGATCACTTACAATTGCTCGCGGCATCCCAAAGCGAACAAAAATATTAGACTTAACGAATTCTGCAACCACTTTGGAATCATTAGTGCGGGTGGCCTTTGCTTCTACCCACTTCGAAACATAATCTACAGCAAGCAATATATACAAAAAACCAAAGGACGAAGGAAAAGGACCCATAAAATCAATGCCCCAAACGTCAAAAATTTCAACAAAAATCATTGGGGTTTGAGTCATTTGATCCCTACGAGAGATATTACCCACTCTTTGACACTTATCACATGACTTACAAAATGAGTAGGCATCCTTGAATAGAGTTGGCCAATAGAATCCACTCTCTAGCACCTTACGAGCCGTTCTCTTCGGTCCAAAGTGACCTCCACATGCAAAAGAGTGACAATAGGCTAGAATAGATTGAAATTCAACTTCACTTACACATCTACGGATGATTTGATCGGCACCCCGCTTCCAGAGGTAAGGATCATCCCAAATGTAGAACTTTGCATCGCTCCTCAACTTGTCTCTCTTTGCCTTAGGCCATCCTGTAGGAAATTTGTCAGTGACTAGAAAATTAACAATATCTGCATACCAAGGCAAAGATGAATTAATAGAAAATAAATGCTCCTCGGGGAATGCTTCTCTCAATGGGATGTCATCTTCGACGACTTGTACTCGACTCAAGTGATCTGCTACCAGATTCTCCGCCCCTTTCTTATCTCGGATCTCCAGGTTGAACTCTTGTAGCAACAATATCCACCGTATCAATCGCGGTTTTGCCTCTTTTTGGTCAACAGATACCGCAAAGCTGCATGATCAGAAAAAATAATAACTTTAGCACCAAGTAAATAAGACCGAAATTTTTCTAAGGCAAAAACAACTGCTAAAAGCTCCTTTTCGGTGGTTGAATAGTTCAATTGAGCTCCGTTCAAGGCTCGAGATGCGTAGTAATAGCATGAGCTGCCTTTCCTACTCTTTGACCCAATACCGCACCAACTGCATAGTCACTGGCGTCGCACATGATCTCGAATGGGAGGTTCCAGTCAGGGGGTTGGATAATAGGTGAGGTGGTCAATAACTCCTTTAACTTATTGAATGCCCCCTTACATGTTTCATCAAATTCGAAGGATACATCTTTTTGCAAAAGTTGGAACAAGGGTGCTCCAATTTTCGAGAATCCTTGATGAACCTTCTATAGAAACCTGCGTGACCCAAGAAGGAACGAACTTCCCGCACACTCGCGGGGTAAGGTAAAGTAGATATAACATCTATTTTTGCCTTATCAACCTCAATACCTGTAGATGATACAACATGACCCAAAACTATCCCGTGTTCAACCATAAAATGACATTTTTCCCAATTAAGCACGAGATTAGTTTCTATACACCTTACTAAGATCAATTTCAGGTTATCTAGACAGTTTTCAAAACTTTCACCATATACACTGAAATCGTCCATGAAAACCTCAATAATCTTCTCAACATATTCTGAAAAATACTTACCATGCATCTTTGGAAGGTAGCAGGTGCATTACACAATCCAAATGGCATCCTTCGGTATGCAAATGTTCCAAATGGGCAGGTGAAAGTAGTCTTCTCTTGGTCCTCGGGTGCGATGGCAATTTGAAAATAACCTGAAAATCCATCCAAGAAACAATAGTAAGCTCGACATGCTAATCGCTCCACCATCTGGTCAATGAAAGGGAGGGGAAATGGTCCTTTTTCGTGACGGCATTTAGCTTTCGGTAATCGATACACTGTCGCCATCCGGTGGGCTTTCGAATTGGTACGAGCTCACCCTCTTGGTTTGATTCCACTGTCACCCCTGCCTTCTTCGGGACCACCTGTACTGGACTTACCCACGGGCTATCTGATATTGCAAATATAATTCCAACGTCCAGCAGTTTTAAAATCTCTTTCTTTACGACCTCCATCATGAGAGGATTTAATCTCCGTTGAGCTTGCCGTACGGGTTTAGCATTCTCCTCGAGTCGAATTCGGTGCATACACACCGCGGGCTAATTCCCTTGATGTCGGCGATGGTCCATCCTATCGCCTGCTTATGTTCCCTAAGAACTCGAAGTAGTTTCTCTTCTTGAACCTTTGATAAACCCGCGGAGATGATCACTGGAAGTGTCTCCCCTTCACCTAAGTATACATACTTTAGGTGTTTCGGCAGTGTTTTAGTTCCAAGACAGGTGCCTGCACCACAGATGGAAGTAACCTTTGTGAGGTTCGGGTATGAAAATCGGTGCAAGATCATACCTTGTCTTCGTGGTTGGTAACGTTTGCAACGATCCAATCACGCATTTAAGCTCTTCACTCAACTCTACCCTAGAGGTCGTTTCGGACTCAAAGTGCCTGGTCAGGACGACCTCTAGTTCATCCCTGCCTTCAATTTCAAAAACCTCCTGTATAGCAGGGTCAATAACATTTACCGAGAAAACAGAGCCAATATTTGAATCGGATGGATATTTCATGGTCTCAAAGATGTTAAAGTGAACAATCTCACCATCAAATTCCATAGACAAAGTACCCTTATTAACATCAATTTTGGTTCGGGCTGTGCTCAAAAAGGGTCTACCTAACAACAAAGGTGACGGATCACGGGAGTGTTCATCCTCCATGTCGAGCACATAAAAATCAGCTGGAAAAACCAATTCATTAATTTTTACCAAAACATCTTCAATCAACCCGTCAGGGTATGCATTGGTCCTGTCAGCTAATTGGATTATTATCCCAGTCTCTTTCAAAGGGCCTAAGTTCAATGAAGCATAAATGGACTTTGGCATGACATTAATCGAGGCTCCTAGGTCTAACATGGCCTTTCCAATCAAAGTATTACCTATCCTACAAGGAATAGTAAACATACCTGGATCTCCGCATTTCGGTGGAAGCTTTCTTTGTAGAATTGCTGAAACATTCTCCCCAACTATAACTCGTTCATCCCCCTTCAACCGCTTGCGGTTGGCACACAGGTCCCTCAAAAATTTTGCGTACCTGGGTACTTGTTTAATCGCATCCAGTAGGGGTATGTTGATCTCCACCTTGCGAAAGATCTCCAGACCTCTTTTTCCTTGTCTTGCTTCTTTGGTTTCTCTAACCTGCTAGGAAAGGGAGGTGGATTAGTTTTAGCTGTAGGAATTGGGTTCGGGTACCTTTGCATTTTTGTTGTCTCTCCTCCTCTTCCAATTCTTTCTCAATCCGTTCCTCGTCCTTGTCTTTAGGAATCACCGGTTCGGGTCCTTGAACTTCCTTGCCACTCCTTAAGGTCATTGCGCTTACATTCTTTGGATTCGCCTCAGGTTGAGATGGCAACTTTCCTTGAACTTGGGACTCCAAACGGTTGATTGTTATAGCCATTTGATTCATTTGATTTTGCAATGATTGCACCTGTCCCAGTTGATTTCTCATGCTTTGCAGTCTGAATCCGTCTTTTGTTGATTAGCAAGTAATTGCTTCATCATCTCTTCCATGGACGGACTTGAGTTTGAAGGGGTGGTGGTGGTGTGGGCGAGGATGGTACTGCTGTTGGTGTCCTTGCTGTCTATTTGGCACAAAGTTAGACTGCCTATTTCCTCCATAGCTAAGGTTGGGGTGATCCCTCCAACCAGGATTGTAGGTGTTTGAGTACGGCGTCGTACTGCCTCATGTTCTGCAGTTTCTTCTTGAACCAGTGGACACATTTCCGTAGGATGACCCACGGCAGTGCACACCCCACACACTTTGACTTGTGAAGCACTCCCCACAGCTAATTGTCTTACGAAAGATGTTAATTCGGAGATCTGCTGTTGGATAGAGGACGTTTCCACCTCATTCACCCTACGCGTCGGGATGTCCTCTCTTGAACCAAACTGCTGTGAGTTCTCAGCCATCCCTTCAATCAACTCCCATGCTCCTCGAGGGGTTTTGTTCACCAACGCCCCTCCACTTGCAGCATCGATTATGCTTCTGTCCCTGAAAAGCAACCCCTCATAGAAATATTGAATGAGCAGTTGCTCACTTATCTGATGCTGAGGGCATTTGGTGCACAGTTTCTTAAATCTCTCCCAGTACTCATAGAGAGATTCGCTGGGTGTTGTTTGATACCACATATCTCCTTCCTTAGGCTCGCAGCTCGAGACGCGGAAAGTACTTGTCCAAGAATTTTTTCTTCAGTTGGTCCCACGTGGTGATACTACCAGGCGGTAGGTAGTAGAGCCAGTCTTTTGCGGAGTCCTTCAAAGAGAAGGGGAAGCCCTCATCTTTATTTGCTCTTCTGTAATTCCCGGAGGCTTCATACTGTTGCAAACGACGTCGAACTCTTGCAAGTGCTTGTAGGGCTCCTCACCTGGTAGACCATGAAAAGATGGCAAGAGATGAATTAGACCAGATTTTAGTTCAAAGGGAGTGTCATCATTTAAATGTGGAAAAGTAATGCACAAGGGCTGCTGATTTAAATCAGGAGCAGCCAACTCCCTTAGTGTTCGTGCATTTGCCATAGTGACTTCCTCTTGGTCTGAATCACTTGAATTGTCACCAGACAAATTTGTCGGCTCAACCTCTGGATCAAGTTCCTGAGGTGCAATATCGTATTGCTCCTCCCTGAGCCGCTGGTTTCTTTCCTCGTTCTACGCGCGGTCTCTCTACTTCAGGGTCGAAAATTAATTCGCCTGTACGAGAAGAGGCAGGCAAACTAGAAAAATACCAGAAAAATTAGAACAAAAATGAACTTAAAAAGAAACAAATAATTAACGCCAGTCCCGGCAACGGCGCCAAAATTGACAGGTGTCGAGCCTGTGCAATAATAAATACCTACTCGAAAAAATAAATTTTCTGTGTATAGTAGTGAGTAGGGTCGAATCCACAGGGATTGGGAAAAATTTGATTCTTTTCAAGTTCGGGACACGGGGGATTTTTATCAGAAATAAACTAAAAATAATTAAACAATTTAACTAAAAATAATTAAATAATTTAACCAAAAATAATTAATTAATTAATAACAATTGTAATAGCAATTAAATAAATGATAAATAAATTCTAGCCAAGGATACAACTACGCAGACACAGTCCATTCATCCGATCATTGATGCAAAGAAGGTTCACTTAATTTTATTAACATGTTAGTTATAGTCGCCGATAAACTCTAACGACCAATTTTTCCTTAATTTATTGATAACCAAGGTACGACCGTTGATTACCCCTAATCAGGAAATACTCCTAGGTACGACCGTAGGAATTAATTTTCTAATTGCATTAAAAACTAGAAAAGCCTAACCCAAATTAATAACACGCTACGAGGGTTATTTAAATCAGATTGCATGTCCCCCTAGTATGTGAAAATACTAGTTGTCACTAATATTAACCAACTAAACAATTACGGATTTAATTGATTAATTTGACAAGAGATTAATAAGTCAAATTGCACATCGGGCCCTTGATATCCAATTAACAAAATAATCCCATGGAAATTAAAATAGAAAACATGCAATATTAATAAATTAAGGAACACGTAAAATTAATTAGATCTCACAGATATTTAGGACTGCGTCTTCGCATTGATCCTTGACTAGAGGAGAAGATTAGCCACGCCTCATGATAAAATTCTCACGCAATTTAAATGGAATCAAATACATAAATAACTAACTAAGAATTTAGGAAGAAACTTGAGTCTCGCTAGACTCTTTTAAGAAAAGTTGCACACCACACAACAAGAGAAGGAAGAACTCCTCCTCTGAAAACCAAAAACTACCTCTATCCTCCTACGGAGCTTCTCTGGAGAGAAAACTCCAAAACTAGTTTTATATCTCCCTTTCACGTCCCATATCTTCATACATAAAAAAAACAGCCAAAATGGAGACATCACCCCACGTCCTCCAAAGAGGTCATCATTTCTCTACACAATCAATTCCATTCCACTCAAAACAAAAGCAATTGTCGGTTTTCTTTTTGACCAAGTGCACACGTTCACCAACAAGAAAGCAAAACCACAAACGTGCAAAGAAAGCACACTTTAGACAATACAACTTATTTGCGGTCCCCACCAACTTTGACATGTTGTCTAGCCAAATTGAATTCCTAAATGCAATTCCATTCTTCTTCGTTGGTTTGCACCAAAATTGTGTAAAGCTTCACAGTAATCTTCTCAAGAGGTTTCTGCTCCAATTTCTGAAATTATATCCAAATACCAAATATAAATATATATTGACAATTAAAGCAAATTAAAGCAATATTTGGCAAGGATAAAAAGGAAAATTAATAATAAAATTACTAACAATTAACACCCTATCAATTCCCCCACACTTAAATCATGCTTGTCCTCAAGCATGGGAACAACTAAATTCAACAATGGCTAACTCTCATTTCATTTATTGCCAAGCTGCGTTTATCCCAAAATCAAGTTTTAGTAGCTAAGTGTCAAAACATATTTCTCCCGGTTAGCTCCTGAAATCATAGATTCGTCCAATTCATGGCTAACTTGTCTAAGAAATCAAAATATTAAACTAGCAAAAGTTAGCAATTGGGTCAACTGAAAATCAAAATCTCAACATTGAAGAACAAGGATCGGCAGGCCAACATGATCATAAGCTTACTTATTATTTTCTTCTCTCTCTTTTTTTTTAAATGATAATAATTAATTTTTTTTTCAATAAATGCTCAGTCCAAGCTATTCAAGTCTTTTGACGTGAACTCTGACATTTTTAGATGAAAGAGCCCAGTTACTCAACTTTTCACAGCTTCAGGACTAACTACTCATAGATATCGCCACTTTTTGACGCGAGAGTCGACACTTGTGGTGAAGACTCCGGTTACTGGGTGATGACACTAGCGGAGTAGAGCCATTTATTAATCACAATTAAAGCATCAGAATACCAGATAATTAAAGATCATGACCCACGTCATCTCCTAATATGGAGAACTAAGATCAACAATTGCCCAATTCACACAACAATTGCTAGTAAAATATTTATATTGCCTAAACAATTTAACCACAATTTGCACCAAGTCATTAAACTCATAATATTCACCAAGATAATATGCTTTTACTTGCCATCTAAACAAAATTCATAGGATAAATCACAACCAGCAATAGAAGAGTGAGTTGCCACATTTATTCATCAAGACAACAATAAGAAAAGCAACAATTTAAAGAAACTCCAATCAAATCCAAATCACCCAACACTTAAAGCACACATTGGCCTCAATGTGATAATTAATTAGTAAAAATAAGAAGAAGGGGAACGAAACTCCCCTGAAGTTGTCAAAACAGCGGCGGGTTAGGCGGAAGTTGAGGTTCAACACCCACGTGGTACATAAACGCCGCCAAATTCTGTGCCATGCTATGCACATTAACATCAATATTTGATACTTGAGCTTCCCATTTCTGAACTCGCATCTGGTGTTGATGCCAGTCATCAGCCCCTGGGATTGGAGGAGGCGGAGCGGAGGTCGAAAGGCCAGGGTCACTACTAATAGTGGAGGAACGGGCAAAAGATGAACGAGGGGGAATAGTGGATGAACGAGTAAGTTTCTTGGGGGTTTTCACATCATATTCATCACTTAACATCACCAAACCAATTTGAGGTAACAATTCTTCACCTAACTTTGTTATTTGAATTTTGCCATAATTAAATATTTTCTATTTTTAGGCAATTTTTATATGTGAAGTTAGGTGTATTTGTTTGAGCTTATTGATGTTATTGGTGATTGTTAGTGATAAATAAATTTTGTGATTTGCATTTATTGTATTTATTTGGTGAATTATTGCTAGTTTTATGCTTAATTTGGCTTGGTAACAAAGTTGCATATTAAGTAGCCCAAATGTAGGCATTTTAATTAGCTTAGTGGGAGTTTTTTGATATTCATGTGAGTAATTTAGATTACCTAATGAATGAAAAGGTGCTTGATTGAATGATTTCTTAAATTTTTAGGTAATTCTAAAAGAAGAGGTGAATTGAAAGATGGCCTTAATTGATGAAATTCATAAATGCACTTACAATTTTTGTGGCTCAATAGTTTTTAGTAATTTCATGAATTCTCACGAAGGTCATTTATATTTTGGTTTGGTGTGTTTGCTTCCATTTTGAGATTACTTTTGTACTTGAGAGAGATTTGATCATTGATGACAAAATATATAAATGGAACTTACTTTGTTCGTGATGGTGGATTTATTGTGTGAAAATTAGCTTCCCTTTGCTTTTGGATACTAATGCATATATTTGATTAGCAAAGATTAGCTCATTTCATGTTTTTATCCCTTGAACATTGTATGGTTCCACATGCTTGATCATTTTTCC